ATTTTAAAATTTGGTATTCGTTGTTACAATTTTTCAATAATCTATAAGCCCCCTCGGGGTGTTTTTCTTTAATATGTTTATGACATATTAATGAAATAAATATTGGAATGATTAAACATGATATTATGAGGTTATGGACATAGACATATGACGTAAAATGATGAAGTTTGGGGAAACATATTGCATGCCTATTTTTTGTCAACGATTCTCTTTTGATTTTAATAGACTAATGTCATGGTCCAAATTATGTCAAGAACCTTAAACAAACCTTAACATGTTATTTACTAATTTACAAAGAAGGTGAAAAAACTCTGCAAAATAATTTATACAATCTTTATATTTCGCGTGCATCTAGTTTGCTTTCTTATTTTCTGTTTTACTTGAAGACCTTTTTTCTCGATACCTGAAAGTGTTGTTACATTAATCTCGAAATATCTTCTCCTGAAGTTTGCGCCAACACTTTCTGTCAACATCATTCGGATAAAGGATCTTGAAATATTTTTTCCTTCTTTATGTCTAAGAGTCGATACCCCTAAATCATTCAGATATTCTAATTGAAAGAAATATTTTCCCCATTTATTATTACGACTACAACATTGGATGAAATAAACATTAGCCCTATAGCCATTTACATATTTCAAGATGAAAGATAAAGTATGAAAAGGGGAGAGAATATTGTAAGGAGTCTAGAAAATGAGAATGGGGAGTAGGCCTATTGTAGCTGCTACACACTTTCTAAATAAATTAAGTAATTTTTTCTTTTTTTCCAGATTATTTTCCGAGGATGCTAGAGTTGTTTTTAAGTTGAATTATTCAGACAAACCCAACATCCTATCTGTGTTTCTTTAATTCAACTCTTTCACTCAATCACCTTGAAACAGATTGCAACTTGGTTATCTTTTTGATAAAAGACACATACATTCACTTCTGATAGAGGAATATAAAGCTCTCTAATAACTTTGGAAATTTGTTATAATCACATTTGAATAAACCAATTGTTTTCCTCAGGAGGCGGGACCAGATAAAGTCATTACGAAGAAGTCTACAGAGATGCAAGCGAGAGTAGCGGGCGATTACGTAGAGATTATTTAAACAAAAACGCTTGAGAGTATTCTGATCAGGGAGAACGTAGCGAGCTACCTTTACTGACCAAACAAGTTATTAAGTTTTGGTCAAACTAAATAATTTAAAATCTATACTAGAAAGTGATCCATTGAGTTTTGTGTACATTATGTGGTGGTGCTAAAATATAAAAATTGGTCTCCTTTTAGCTGCCGTTCTCATAATTTTAACTGCAGCATTAATATTATAAATGATATAAGATATACTAGAATAGTCGTATGTGGGTCTGTTGTTAATAGGACTTCAAGTTTAAGACATTGAAACAGAGAAGGGATCCGTTTTCAACTGTCTTACAATCTCAGCATTGGGGACAACTTTGGAGGAGACAAACTTTCAGCTTTAACAATTTTTAGCCAATATACTTTATATACCATCATCTAGCTGCCAATGTCAATTATTACGTTAGGATAGTTTAATTTTTTGCTGAACTGTATACATTCACGAGGCCAGCCCGCGTAGATAGTATATTCGAGCTGCTTTGACATTTTAATGGAGTTCCGTATAATTCATCGCCCTAAAACACACGATTTTACCCACAATGGGTTAAGAAAATCCCGCTCTAATCTTTGCGTGACGTATTTAGTCTCAATGGCGTATAACCGAGATCACCCTTGAAAGCCGACTTAAGTCTCTCGATGCACGCTTATAGAATATAAAAGCGTCTAATTATAAATCACGGGACAGGGCAAGTAGAGAAACAAAATGGCAACCATTGAAGTCAGGTAGGTTTAATTTAAAGTACGTGTTTCAATACCACGATTCGCTTTTAATTAAACGCAAATTAATTTCCGGTCTTTTGGGGGAGCGAGGAGATAAAGAGCATGAAGAGTGAATCTCTCTCTCTCTATCTCTCTCTCTCTTGTTTTTGTTTCTATCCCAGGACACCAGGGTACCGTCTAATCAGACACGGTAAGGCTGAAAACAAAAGGAAGATGAACAATATAATGGCAGATTCTTTGTTAGCTCATAGGTTAAAGGCGCGCCCCTCTCACCCTCTCTCTCTCTCTTAAATTTGGAGCTGTTGGTGCGTGATAGTCTTGAAATACTAACATTCGTGGCTATAAAGAAATTAAGTACGCGATAACGATGTCCGAGCTTTCTGTGTATGAATACTTTTAAATGTGTTAAATTTCTTCAGTTTTTACGTAAACTCGACCATAACGATTGATGAAAACCCGTAGGCTACCTTCCTGCTCATAAATCAGATTCCTCTACATCATGCATGTGATAATGTCTTTCATAATACATAGATTTTTACATACTCCCATATACAAAAGTGATATGGTATAGGCCTACTTTATTATATATAATTCTTATACTGAAATATATATATATATATATATATATATATATATATATATATATATATATATATATATATATATGTTAAAAGAAGATCGTTTCCGCGGACAGCTATAACCTTAAAAAAAATTATCTTAGAAGGAAATTAATCTTTATTTTAGTTGATACATATTTAGAATATGATGTTTAAGATGCAATCTAGTTTGCTTTACATTGTTAGATCATGGTTATGAAAGACATGTTTATATTTATAATTATGAACTTTTCAACGTTGCGTTTTTCCCATTCCGTCCAAGCATGTATGATATATGGCCTACAAACAGTAAATGTCTTGGAACAATAAAGCCTATAATAGATATATATCAGATAATCACCCACGCTGGCTTTCTAAGATGACTCATCAATGTCATTTAAAACTATTGTACGAGCATTTCCATACTGGATTTACTACTACAAATTTAATCAATTCATTACGCAGATTTACTCAGTAATTTACTCGTTAGTAATAATTCAATAGTTCCTTGGCGGAATAAAGTCGCTCGGCCGTACTAATTTTGAATATGATCTTCCCCATATCGGAATTCATTCATAAAAAGACCAGCTGCCTTCGACTGGAAATTGTTCTTATTTTTTTATTAAAGGGGAATGCCCTGGCGAAAGACCATCCCATCAAAGACCGTCCAATCAATTTCACCATTTTCTTCCTCTTCCTTCATTCTTTACTTTGGAAGAGCCGTGAGCAAGATTTCATTTCACAAATAAAATATCCATGAAAAATTATTCTGGCGTCTTACAAAATCAGTTTTTGACCAAATATAGATTCCGACCTGGAAAAAAATAGAGGTCGATCAATTTCGTTAGAATTTTTATTGTAGAAATATGATGATTTTTGTATCCATTCATATATATTTCTATGGTCCTTTCTCCATCAATAATGTCTCAGACATTTGCAAAATTGAAATGGAGATCACAAAGAGTTCTAATAGAAGTAAAACATGAGAGGTATAGAAATAGCTATTGCAAGACCGTATACCAAGGTTCAAACACATCATTTGTTAAAGAAGAATGATCACTAGATGACATAAAATCGTAATTTCAAATATGATACGAATCTAGTTATTATCTATAAAGATGTTCCAACCAAACAATTTTACTTTGATACTATTCATTAAAAATGTGTAATGTGTATATAATACCCGTATCTTATATCTACTCTTTTGTGTTATATTATGATATATTTCATTGATATCAAGTCTTTTTGATGGATTATATTTAGGGATAATTTCATTTTAGTCATGATACTAAAGTAAAGTGTTAGTAAAGTGTTAGTATGGGAGTGATTTTCTCCACTATAGAAATCTTTGAAGACGTTTCGAGCAAAGATGTTGATATTCGATCTTTTTTATAATTTTTTTGTAATAAATAGTTTTGAAATTTTAGCACGGAAAAAACATTAGTGAGTTAATGAAATGTAATGAAATATATAATCCCGTCTACGGCACATATCGCAGATTAGCATACAATACTCTATTATGTACCTGCTACAGACGAAGCCTGCATCATTTTCAGTCCCCGCGATGAAAAAAAAATATTGTCGAGGGAAAACAAACAGATCAAATTTAGAGTACAAATATGTTTCGGCTATCATTCTAATCTCGAGATCGCATCTCAAGAAGCTAATGATGTATTCATTCCACACGATTTTTGACAATCTTGATTTCCCATCTTAGGGAGGAGGAGGGGGAAACTAAACACTATAATAGCTGTAAGCCTGTTCAACAGACCATTGCAAGCGGATCCCCTCCATTGCTCTCGGGGGGATTGGGGGCAGTGGTTGCTGATGATGACTGGCGCACCTCGTGCGGCCTGCTGCTGAGGCGGGAGGAAATTGAGCGTATAAGTTGAGCTCTATTTCTTGCTCTGTTGCTTACGCAGCTGCCGTAGGAGCTATATGATAGCTCCACAGGACAGGTTATTAATATAGATATCACACGAATGTAATCATCCAGATTTACGACCCTGGTTTTTCACATGTTGCTTTTCACGTATCTTTTCTCCTATTTTTTTTTTTTAATTGTGTGTGTTTATCTTGACCGTAACTTCTTAACAAGACTAATTCCTTATAAATCTATGAATTCGGGGAAAGCGTTTTATACAGATTAAATAATCTCCCTAACTTGGAGTAGATTCAATAAACCTATTAACCGAGATGTAATTTGAATTTAAAAATCATTATTTTGGTTAATTGTGAATGAGTCTTTGTTCACAAATCGTCAACCCTCAACTACTCAACGGAGGTATGTTTTTAACTTGGCGCTACAAATAACATAGAGGAGATTTGAAGAAACGTTCAAACTAAAATAAAAATAAGAAAAGGAGAAATTGCTTCATGAAGATACTAAAAAATAAATGACCAGTTATATTTCAAATAGAGAAGTAAAGAGGAAGAGCAAGAGACAGTTTGAGCATTGATACATTAAAATCTGGCACAAACGACCATAAAGGAACAAGAGAAGTAATAAGATGACATAATGGTATTATAGTCGGCGTAATTTAATTTCAGGAATACTATTTACCTGAATACTATTTACCTGAACTCGAGATTCAGTAAGTCCGACCCGCATCGCAATCTCCTCCCGCATGAAGATATCAGGATAGTGTGTCTTGGCAAAGTTTCTCTCCAGTTCGTTCAGTTGGGCCGGTGTGAATCGAGTACGGTGGCGTTTCTGCTTGGCCGGTTTATCGTCATCGTTTCCGCTGCCCGAAGACCCAACGGAATGGCCGGTCCCGTCTCCGACCATGCCACCTCCACCGCCACCACCACCGCCGCCGATGCCGATGCCGTTGCCTTCCCTGCCGTCGCCGCCTGCCGACACTGGCGGCGTGGAACCATCCGGTGCCCCGCTGGTTCCGTAGGAAACCTTCTCACTGTGTTGACTGATCATTGTACCGTCATCATCTGCAAAGAAAAACGTAGGAGAATGATATATTATGGGAAAACAAAACTATTGATAAAAGCACATCGTATTGTGATTGGTTATCATGTTACACTTCACAGACTACACAGTGATACAATGGAAACTACGCCATTGTGTTATTGTCACAAAGCAGCCCTTCTCTGCTCGTATGGAATTGGTATACTAAAGCAGTCATTGTTTAAATCGGAAATTATAAAAAGCAAGACAAGATTACAAAAATCTAACATCATTGAATCTGCGACCGTTGGGCCCAGATGACACTAGAATCTTCATTAATCTCTGAAAGTCTTCTATAATATAAATTATATGTAAAGAAGACACACATATTCACCGAGAGAAATCTAAAAGAGAATACACCGCTCCTATGACACCAGAAACGCCAAATGAATAGCTTCACTTAAAGTGATTTCACAGCAGGGTAGCAAAGGATTACAATGATACAAATTATTAAATCGTTAATCGTATTTGTAGAGATAAAGTTACACACATAAGAATAAAAAAATAATACCAATGAACACAAAACTTTGGATGAGCATGTGAGATGGTCGAAGATTGGTATGCTTCAGAACATGTGCCCTCCCCCCCCCCCCCTGTACCCCAATATTTGTTTTGATATACTTTTCTCGTTTATGAAGTTTAGTGAATCGGTTGGTCCTCAATCATTATTTGACAGGTCGGATATTAGAAATCGCCGTCTCCATGCAAACCGTTGGATTTGGTGGCTAACTCAAATCAGTCAGTATCCTGGATATTTGATTCTAGACGAAATTATATTCGGGGTAATAAAAGGGGAAATAGAATAGAAGAGATAAAGCTAAGTTTAAACGCTGTAGTGTGTAGACAAAGAAAGGAGAAGACAGAGACAGGCAGACAGATAGAGACAAAGATAGAGAGAAAGAGAGAGACATACAGGCAGATAGAGACACCAAGACAGAGAGAGACATAGATATAGAGAAAAGGGGACAGCGTGATACATTGATAAAGAGTTAGAGAGAGAGAGAAAGAGAGAAGGACAACAATAGACACATAACTATAATGAAATAAAGAAAATAAAGATTTAAAGAAAAGGGAAAGATGTAAGTTTATATAATTCTTTCTGTTAAACTAAAAAGACGATTAATTGTAAAAAGAGTGAATAGTAATGGGAGATATTGGTGCTTGAGAAGGGAAATTAGAAAGTACAGTTACAAAGAGAACAAGAGAGACAGAAAAGAGAGAGAGGGTGGAAAACAGAGAAGGGATCAAAGGATAAAACAGGAGAAGGGAAACAGGACAAAGGGAAGTGCCCTTATCCTATAACTGAGTATTTTATTATTTGTTTATAGTAATGATATAGAGGGAAAAGGAGGAAGCTGTGATATTCGAATATATAGACGATTATTTAAAGATGAAACTCAAGTAGAAACTTCTAAACTACACTGTATATTGACCGTCACAATACTTTTAATATGATACACAGGCACGCACCTTAAAATAAGAATACAACTTATTTTTACTTTCTTATTCTTCTAGTCTGTCTTGGTTTCCATTGCATCCATAGCTTTACAAAAAATATTCTGGACCACGATAAGTCACATGGTACGAGGCATTTACAAAGCCCCCCCCCCCCCTCCCTAAATATGCACGTGTAGTAGCGAAGGATACACCAATCATTTCATATCAAGTTTAAATCAACAGACCGTAAATCCGATCAATCCGAATAAATTATTCATGTCGGATCCAAATCACATTAGCCATCTTTCTTTCTTTTCGGTCACAACTGGTATGCATGTAGAGTGAACGTTCGGATATACTATAACCGGTCCAATGGGATTTGATTTGAAAAAGGACAATTTTTGCCCTTTATTACGTCATAAAAAGTGTGTATTCTAAAGTCTTTTCTTAAAAGCGAGGTTCTGTGAGAGAAGACAATAATGTTTCTTTAATTGACCTGGTGAGACCGTTTGAGAGATGAGCATGATGAGAAGCGGTCCAGAACAAAAGCAAATCAGGAAAGAAGGAGATAGTTTGATATGCAAGAAATATCCTCTTGACATCAATATCTTAAATCACGTAATGTAGACAATACAATAATAAAGTTATGTGGCGGCATTATTAATTAATTACGAGTGCAATTAAGGTAAATCTTCTAATCGACCATTAGTGGACGTTCACGTAACATGTAAAGGACGCAATCATTGTTAAGTGTTTGCTTTGTAATAATACGAAAGCAACGAATGCATTGATATTCCGAAAGAAAACAATCGAGGCTCTGTCATTAAGGTATTTTACCTGCTTGAAAGGGGCAGTAATTGATAGCCAATTTGTTTAGGTGTCGTGTATACGATTAAACATAATTCGGCCTAGAGAGGGCTATCTATATATTAGAGACATATACCTATTATGTATGTATTTACATAAAACCATAACGGGTTTATGCATGTGTGATTTTATAGAATCGATAAGAACTTTCCCGAAGAAACCTATTTGTAAAAAGGACAGGGTTGATACATGCTGATCTCATAACGGCTAAATACTTCATTTACAACTATTGCCAATTTAAAAAAAAAGTTATAACAAATACTACCAACCAATTTTCGTCAATAATTCTCTAAAAGTAATAATAGAACAGTAACAATTTTAAGGGTAAAAGTACTTGGATGCCCCAATGTTATTTGCTATTTAACTCCGTCATTTAATCTTAAGATAAACATAAATTATTATAGATAATTGCCAACGCAAATAGCCATGGATTAGCACTAATAATTATGCTAAGTACAAATCAGTCTGGGAAGTCTTTATTAAGCCTTCTTTATATTCAAAGAAGGTTTCAAGACTCCGAGACGGCCTATAATGACTCTTTGTTACACAATGCTCTTTCTTTCTCACAATATTCCGTCCTTCTAAAGTTTGGCTGGATATTTCAAACTCAATTCTTTTTATGCTTTATTCACTTGAGATGCCCTTATGCCCTTTTGATCTAATTAACATGATTAAAACAAACTATGACTTCGGTGTGATATTACACTTGTTAAAAAATATGACAACTTATACTATTGTGTTAAGGTTATGAGGTAGATATAAAGCAGTCTGTGATGCTAAATCTTTAGGTCATATCTAGAAATGTCTTTTCTCTTTTTCATCACACGAGAAATGATAAGGATTCAATGATTCTATACTCAGAGGGAGCATTTCTTTCGAGACTCAAGAAGGGGGCATACAACTTTTCAATAAAATGCTATTTCAGTAAATAATCAATACAAGCTTACGTAACTTAGATTGTACAAAGCTCTAACTGGCGTTAACTAGTGCGAGCCTTGTTTGCCCCACCTAGCATCAAATAATGAATGTAATTCGCATTCTGACTATTGACATAGAGCTATTCGTAAGAGGTTGAATTTAAGAATTCGAACCGAGACACTTCACAAAACGTATGCATAACACTGCGAAAATGGCACATTTTCATAATTGTTAAAAAAGGATAGCATTCAGAAGATAGCTTTACACTGCTGTCTTAACAAGCTAAGAACTCGGTGCTATTCAAAAATATATAATGGCAAATTGTAATGTGCATATAGGATTGCTTCTTTGAAAACATGTCGAAAAAAGTACCACTGTTATGTGGGGCGGTTAAATGATCGTACTATTTAAGTCATTTTACTCCCCTACAAAATACACCATGATGCATTATTAACTATCAGCACAACATCAGACGATCGATTACAGTAAATCTGTTGTTTTAATCGCTCCGTGACCCTCGTCAACTGACACAGAAAAGGAGAATAATGAGCAATGTAAATGCATATTTATAACAACATTGAAACGGTGCAGAGACCAAGATAGCAAAAATGTGTCAAGGTCATGTCTATCATTAACATTTAATTTCATTGGGTATGAAATCATGAATACATCTCGAATACCAATAGTTATTTGAATACCAGTTCACATTTGTATAGTAAAAATCACTTCAACATGCTTGCTTTAGGCCTATTTTGAAACCGTAGTGATACAACAATAGACTTTCATACCATGCAGATTTGACGAGTCTCAGAAATAATTCACAGATATAGAAAATTAACTCTGTTTTCAAGCTCTCAAATATATGCTTTCTATGTGAATAGATGATTACCTTTAGAGGCTCTCAATACGAGCATTACTTGATTAATGAAAGTCTATTTTCCTTATCCAATACTCACTCCTGACTGCTGATGATGTGATCATCTTGTTCGTATTATCCAATCCACCGGTGACAAGCAGAGCTTCTGTGGATAGCTCCATGGAAGGAACATGGGCTAGAGTTCGCTCCATCCTGTCAAATATACCTGGAGACAACTCCTGGGGATAGTGGCCCGATGGAGCGTGATGGTACCTCGCCACAAACGCCACCGTTAACAATTATCTTTCCCTTTACGGCCGTACAACAAATATTCATACGAGTGAAACAACTCGACCATAACACGATGAAGAAAAATGTGTCGTACCCGAAAACCGTAGCCGTCTGGCCGTCGTCTGTCAATATTTCTCTGTCATATGAACAACCTGACTAGTTTCTGGATGTCGGAATGAATCAGACGTTGGTTTGGAATTGACGGAGAAGATGGGGGAGAGAGGAGGACTTGCGAAACCCCGGTGGAGTTTTGTTCGGTCGACTAACGAGATCCCGGCGTGGTGGCGTCCTGTTATACAGGTGGTTCGCGTGGCGCCGCGCGAATTATCGCCAGCGCTGATTGGTTGAATGAGTGCAGGACAGCGTTCGGAGAGCCGGACTACGTCATTGTCTGATCGCCCAATAGCGCGCCTCGAATTGTGGATGCTCGCGCTTGAAGACACAAGTGGAGCGAACGATGGAAAGAAAAACTCAACAGATAGAGAGAATAAAGAGGGAGAGGAGAACAATAGAGAGGAGAGAGAGGGTAGCGAATAATGCCTTGTTTTGCGGTTGATTTCAATCTTAGGGTAGTGAAAAATATTTTAAAAGTGTGTTTGTGTATTGTGTTTTGCTTTTAAAATTAACGGATACAAACCACAATGATATTGGTTCTGCAAAAAGTATAGTCATTACATACAATTCCATTAGTTCAGAGGTCTTTCTCTTGAATTAGGTTAGTACGGCTAGAATTCAATATAATAGGGATATTATTTGTTTTTGTTTGTTTTGTTCTCTCTCTCTCTCTCTCTCTCTCTCTCTCTCTCCTGTCTGTCACTATCACTATCTCCCTGCCAACACAGGTCCTCTTTCCTTGCGTTTGTCTATCTTCGTTTCCACTGTTGTGAATCCAGTTTGTTGTATAAAAATTCTTTGATTGTCAATGTTTTTTAATTGTTTGCAGTGACAATTACGCTGACAAATATCTACCGGACAACTACCACGAGGACAAACCCCCTCTTCCTCAACCCCCCCCCCCCCTCCCCCAACGCAATAACTTCTAAATAAATTGTCTGTCCCCTTAACCATATTTAATCTCGGAAAGCTAAGTAGGTGTTGATACACCTGTTAAGTAAATTAGACATACTTTTTGAAGAAAAGATTCCTCTTATATAAAGTCAAAAGCTTGACAGAGCCTTGCTGGACATAGCAATAGTTAATATATGCAAAGTGGATTCCAACTATATACTACAGAGATGCCATTATGTATAGTAGGTGAATAATTTATTGAACATGAGTTTTGGGAGAAACATGCATTGATTTAAAAACATTAGTAAACAAGTCTAATAACCTGAGGTGTATTTTCCAGGAGTTCACTGTCGGGATTGTCGTAGTAGTAGCTGTGAGGGAATTGTCCTAGCGGTATTTGTAGGGGGCAGTTGTCCGGGAGGTGCTAGTTTATATATGCTGTCCAAGACGACTTTAGTTGGGATACTCATCATAATTTACAACAATGGCAGGGAAGTGCATCTGCATCTCAACACCTCATTGAATCCACGAAAGACAGGACCAAGTCATACGGATCCAGAATATTCTCATCTGCAGCTTTGCATCTCTGGAACTCTCTCCCCACTACCTTCCGAACCATCACAGACTTAACTTTCTTTCAATCTCAACTGAAAACGTACTTGTTTAAAAACGCTTTCTAATGTCATTTAAACTGTATTATTGTATTCATCAATTTAATCACATTACTGTACTTTTACATAATTTGCCTTGATTACCTTTTCTCTGTAATTGATGTTTATAATGATTGATTATTATTAATCTTGTCCTTATTTTGATATTTCTTTAGTTCATGAATTAGTAGTTATGTGTAATTTTGTTGTATTAATATTGTAAAGCGCATTGGTATTTTCTTCGAAGATGAAATGCGCTATAGAAACCTAGGTTATTATTATTATTTTCATGTTTGCAGTCTCACTAATAAAAGCAATGATAGTAATAATAAGTATAATAATAATGATTATATTTTTCAATGATTCGGAACGTTTCTCAGAAATATGACAAATTTTAAAGTCAATTAGTGGCAAGTCTTTAAAAAGTCCCTGCACATAAACATATTGAAGCAGTATAACTTATTATTTCATGACCTCCAAATGATTACTGTATTCTTGACTCTTATATGAAAAATAAGGCCTGAATCTTACATAAATTGCAACCGAAAATCTGACACATACATTACCAATAAAGGTCTCCTCTTTAACATATATGAAGTAGCGTGCACTTATGTTTCTGCCCCTCCCGCCATTCGTTTACATTTTAAACAGTTTTTATTTTGCTTCAGCGTTATTTGTTGGATAGGATGACCTTGTGTAAAGGGAGCTTCATGTTACATTAGTTAATGAGTAGAAAACCCGCACAATACTTTTTCTCCACGTTAAAATATTGAACTGTACGATTTATGAAGCTAAACGAGGTCAATTTTCGGTTACAAATTCTTTTTTAGTTGAAAAGAGGCACTTAAAATGTATTTTTTATAACCATGCAGGGAAGGTTATAGAAATTCAAAGAGAATGAATTTTTTGATTGTTCTTAAAAGCTCGTTTACAATGTCATATGACGCTGTAAACACTAAAGTTTACCATGGCATATTTTGTGGGTAAAATATTTTCTTTGTTCACTTTTCAATAAATAAATGGCGGGCGTGGACGAAATATAGCATCTGTGATCACCGTGAGTTATAAGATACAAAAATGTGAAGTGCATTATTCCTAGGCCATTATACAGTGCGTATCAACACAAAAAAGTATACCCAACTCTGGTAGCTAAAGATTGAAAAATAATCGATCTGACCTTGAAATGTATTTCATGGTAAAGAGTAACTTGTTTTCTGTCTTATGGATACCCTCTTCACAATCTTTCTGCCTCGGAAGACTGAGCACCAGATTTGTTTTGTAAAGTGTTGTCAAAATATCCGTGTACCAAGTTTGGACTACTGCACCGAATGTGGTTCAGGCCATACGTATGTGCTACTTTGATCTTATATTCTTTCAAAATTTAAATTTTGCTTCGTGCTTCATTGTGTTATTGTTTAAAAGGATCCCATGTATCTAAGCTTTCACAGGACCTTGTTACAATCCACTGATAGCCTCAATTATTTAAATAGCCTGCTAACTTCTAGTTCACATGTCCAAAGCACCATTTCTCATGCAAAATGTGCGTGATGTGTATAAGGCATTTGTCTTAAAAATTACTTGAAAACTCAGATGTTTGCTAACTTCAAACATTTATTAAATGCAAGAAGAAGAAGAAGAAAAAATTCTCAATAACTATATATCAAAGGCATTGACAATAGACTTCCATGAAAGAATATAGTATCGCAAGTAAACTTTGTCCATTTCTAATGACTCAATGACGAGGCGTGCGCACAAGGGGTGTGAGAGAATTCAAGTCATCGTAACAAAGAGATTATCATAAACTTGGCTTGTAAATGAACCTTCTCTTGAGTTTACCAAAGTTCGATGTACATTTTTACACACCTGCTACTTAGATGAACGAGACTTAAAGAATTCCTTTAATATTTCTTTCTTCAACAAAACGCACAAGAAAGCAAGTAGAAGAGTCAAACCATTTTGTTATATACAGTATAAATCCCTTACTTGCTACTGGCAAGTCCGTAAACAAAGATATTCAAGTTCTATCATGATTGTAGGTTTGAATGAAATAAAGCTTTTTGTAGCGGGTATATACATACAGAAATTTCTTCCTACAGAAGGTATTAGAAGTAAGATTTTTAAATGTTTAAGTAGGTACATGTATGCGTAATGCTTTCCGGATTATGTTTTAATGGTCCACGTTGCGTTGTCCGTGGAGACCTGTGGACTGTGGACAAAAGGGTAGATTCCCAGGAGAATAGCCCAGAGATGGTATCATTTCCTTCCACACCAACCTTCTTTTGTTTATGGCAATGCCGAATACCATAATGCAACGCATGCTCCTGCTGACTCCTAACCAGGAACCTGCAAAGAAATACAGTTACGTAAGCTAATAGTAAGAATAATATGATAAATAGTACGAACAACATACAACAACTAAAATATTAAACACAATTGGAACTATTTTCGTAAAATGTCCTTGTCATATTCACACATTTCGATAGGTGACGCACTAGGTTATCAAACTTGCTCTAGGTCGATTTTTTGAAAGTCGTTGCTACCGTGCTTACTTACTAGCTAGGTATTCTTGGTGGATTTAGCCCTCTATTCCAAAGGGAAAGGCTCTCAAGTGGCTCCTTAAAGTCGCCACTGTAGGTGCAGACACAACTCCAATGTTGGACCACTCTCTTGGAATAAAAGTGGCCAACCAGCTGTGTTCTGGAACGTCTTTGATATACTTCTAATGGAATGCCCTCTTAATTCCTTGTTTGGGCCAGTAAATTAATATTGTGCTGGAGCTATAAAATAATCATTCAAAATATTTGTACGTATTGATGAGGTCTGTTCTTATTCTTGACTTACTTGACTCAGGTGCATAGGACGGTGTGTCCCCTTGCTCCCCTGCGAGAAATCATGCTCCAGTCTGATCTGTCCTGGGCTCGTTGCTCTGCCTCTTGTGTGGATAATCCCACATCGCATTGAACCTGGTCCTTCCATCTCTTTGGAGGGCGTCCCCGTGGTCTGCGTCCATTAAAGTCATTTTAGAATGCTTGGTATGGTAGGCGGTGATGCGGCATGCGTAAAACATGGCCAAACCATTTCAAGCGACGTTTTATTCTATATAAGATCTATATTCGCTATAATATAAGAAATAGTACAATATGCAATAATCACCCACATGGTTGAAGTGGAGACTTATTCGCGCCATCGAGCAAGTTTGAACTAAAGTAAACAATCAGTGGAAATATTATTGACGTTCTAGAAGAAGTTAATGCATGTTAGGAAATATGTGTGGGTGTCCGGAATAAAATGACCACAGTTGTAAACGTAAGCTTTAAGAAGAACTATGATTTTCTCTAAGAAAATGATTTTTTTTTAGAGGTCAAACAATATTTCACAAAATAAACGATAACATATTGAAGTTTGTAAGATATTATTTGTTCCTTTTTGTATATTTCTTTTGAAACATAGCTCAGAGAACGTAAATCAATCATATGTATATAGACATCTTTTTTAGTTTTGTTCAGATAACACCTTAAATAGCATCGTTTAGATAATAGCTCAGTAGAAATTATTATTCTTATCATTATTGTTATCATTATCATTATCATCATTATTATTGTTGTTATGATTGTTTTCGTTCTTA